TTGATCTTGCGGTTTGTTTGACGCTCAATGAACTTAGTAAAATTGATGAATATTTGAGTAACTTCAAATTTGAACATTAATGGAAATAACCAGGTGAAACACGAATAATCGTCTATGAATATTAAGTAGTATCTAAAACCTTGCTGAGATAGGACCCAAGATGGTCCCCAAACATCGGAATGTATGAGCTCTAAGGGAGCCTGTTTTCAATTTTCAGAAATTTCAAAATATAATTTGTGTTCTATAAAAAGTTTGCAAGAATTACAAAAAGAAGAGATATTAGACATGTTGATAGCAGGGTTCGTTTTGGCGATGTGCTTTAGGACCCTGTGATTGGGGTGACCGAGCCTTTGGTGCCAGTTGGGAGACTGGTTTCTTGTCACCGTGAGACCTGTATGTTGTCCGTGCGGTGGCTGGATGGCTAACTGATATAATCTGTCTTTACATTGGCCGCTGAGCAGTATTTTGTTGGTCTTCGAATCCTTAAAAATAAACCCGTTGGAGTCAAAAATGATGGAGATGTTGTTATCTGTAACAAGATTAGATACCGAAAGTAAATTGTGAGAGATAGATGGAGAGTGGAGGAGTTGAGATAGAAAAAGCTTACGAGAGGGTGTAGGAAGTAGTCCCGTGCCCGAGTGAGCAATGGGTACTGATCTTCCGTCCCCTATAGTCACCGTGTTTGTACCGTTGTACACGTTGGAGGAAATGAGGTTGTCAGCCGAATTCGTCATGTGGGTGGAAGCGCCGGATTCGATATACCAGTCGGCTGAGGTGTTGTGATCGTCGTTGGAAAGAAGTGCCTGATTATTCTTGGAAGAGTTTTGGGATGGAACGAAGTTCGGGTTTAGACGATGCCAACACGCCTCCGCAGAATGGCCTTTCTTCTTGCAGATTTGACAGGTGGTGCTGTAATACTGGGCAGATCGGCCTGTTTGAGTTCTTTCTGATGCCGGACACGGTCTGCCTCTACGACCACGATCTTTGGATGCATAGAGAGCTACTTGGTTGTCGGTCGTTGCGGGAAACTTTAATGCCGCATCGCCGCTGTCTGGAGGTGAATTTCCTCACTTATCAGAAGAGCATAAAGACTGTCGAGACTGAGAGAAGATTGCATCGTGCAGATGGACGTATTGAACGGTAGGTGTGAAGGAGGTAGTCCGTTCAGAATTTATATCATAACGTCCTCGGGATCAACGGACGATCTCGCCGAGGCAATGTTGTCGACAATCTTCTTGATCTCAGTTAGGTACTGAGACATTGAAAGATTCTTCATGGAAACGTTGTGAAGCTCGTTCTTGAGCTGGATGACTTTGGACCTGCTAGAAGATTGAAATATTGTCTGCAGTGCACGCCAGATCTAGTTCGTAGATTTGAGATGGAGAACGTATGGTAGAACCGAGGGGGAGATGGTGGAGCACAATGCGGCAGCCAGGTTTTGATCGATGACAAGCCAGCTGGAGGATTCTTGATTTGGATCTGTGTTTTCGTTCGCCGTTGCATTTGTGGACGACGCGGAAGCCGGTTGAGGATCAAGAAAGATGGCGAATCCATTTTCCTTGAGGACTTTAATGATTTGATTGCTCCAGATGGGGTTGTTGTCCAGAGTCAATTGATTTGGAACAAAAAATTTGAGGTTGGATATAACAAATTTCAACGATGGTGAGATAACCTGATGAGAATGAAGAATGCCGGAATGGGCTTCGGTGTGGGAGGCAATGGAAGTCGGATTCGCCATGGAGCAATGGGAAGAGGATCGTTCCTTACTCTGATACCATGATGAAATTCATGAGCAGATGAAGAAAGCCGATGGAGAAGAAGCCCAGAAGAATGAGAAAGAAACTTATATTTTATTAATGAAAAGCTTGTCTTACCGTATTACAATAGATCCCTATATATAGTTTACAGAATGTAAAGAGATACGTGTGTACAGTTATTACAGGATGGCAAGAATATATAATTTGAATTTATTTATCTATTCTAACACATATTTTAGCTTTTATTTGAATAATGTTTGAATACTTTATTTCCTTAAACTTTATTTGAACGAAATTTAGAGCCACAATCAAACCTTGTTATATTTGTATTCAACCTATTTTTTAGTTTTTATTACAAGGGTTTTTAGGCAATTGCCCCCCCTCACACACACACACACATACAAAAGTTTTAAAATACTAGGTTGAACCACGCAAGAGGGCACTGGAACAAAATTTGATTGTAAAGATATTTATGAAAAATATATATATACACTTTTACTTATAATTTTGCCCCCCTTAAAATTAAGGCTTGTTCCACCCCTATAAATAGTTGTGATATTCCTCATAGTAAAAGTATTTATTAAGTAAAAAGTTTAAATAAATCGAATAAAAAATACAAAGATTATACTAACACTCAAAACAATTTAAGAAAAAAAAGAATAAACTTTCTAGTCAAAATTAGTTTGTGTGTTAAATTGAATCTTGCATGTCTAATAAATAAGTTAGAATCTAGCCCTGAACTCAACCCAATTATTAAATGTGCTAGCAAAAATTTAAAAATTTTTAGGTCATATCCAAGTCAAATTATTTTTTAATACCCTTATACATAAATAAATATTAATTTGCATATTGGGGATTTTTATGATTTGATGAAATATTGAATATTTTATACATTATTAATAATTAGTTTATTAATTGGTGTTCTGTAGCTTATATTTTTTCCCTTCTATTCTTTCATTATGTTTTCAATTTTAAGCTTGAAAGAGCTGTTAAATTATTTCAAGTCAAATTAAAACTACTATTAAGATTGGCTTAAATTGGATTCATTAAGATTAAAATTCAAATCTTATAATTTATGAGTAAATCTCAAGCATCTGCTTGGGCCCACTGAATACCCATTACCCAGGTGCGGGTGAGACCAAACCTGTGGGCTAAATGTTTCGCCACAGGAAATGGCCCATAGATGGGGTGGAATGAATGGGCCCACAACATAACAAATCTAAACCATAGGCTTCTGGCCCACAACTTATCCACAATCCGGCGGCGTGGTCTGAAAAGACCTGCATTGTGGCCCACAGCTTCATTTAAGTGGCAAAGAATTTTATGGATTTTTATATATATATAATGACTCAAATTCAAAATCTCTTAAATTATTGTTAAAACTTCCAACCAATAGATTAAAATGAATTGCGTGAATTTTGTGGATTAGTGTGGTGGTTAAAAAATGTGACATTTGTAGGTGAGTACATCTCATTATCTTAAGTACTAAATATTATGAATAATTTTAATCAAATTTTTTTTAAATAAAATATGAGCACATATTTATGGGGTTGTTTGATTTGATATATTTAGGGTGTAAAATAATTCAAATACAAGGATTTTGATCATTTGGGTGTTTAATTGGATGAAAAATATATTCAATGTAAAGTACGAATGTAATGTATTCAATTTTAGTTCATTTTTGATGTATTTGAAATTTCTCATATTTGAGCGATTTCTAAATACTCCGCAAACTAGTAGCATTGTTACCCTTTGCAGCCAACCATCGTTGGCCACCGCCTCCTACCACCATCTACGGCCAGCCACCATCTCAGACCACCGACGCCCACCCACCATCGGCCAACCACCACTGGGAGCTGCCTCCAACCAACACTGGCCACTACTACTGGTCGCCACCTCCCACCACCCTAGCCGCCGCTTTTCAATTTACTTCAAACCAAATAAAAAATGCAATGTTACCCTAAACCCTTTATATTCATTAAAAATTTTTTGTTATGTATAATAACTGTTTTTATTGCTTTATAAAGCAGCTTCATTGCACAAAACTTTTTGTCCTAAAAAACTGTTTTAAAAAATAAAAAAAAATCATCCCAGATGAAATCTAAATCTGTCCCAAACAAAGCCTATGTGTTGAAGAGTACGTTCATTCTAATGTGGACTAATCATCGAAGACCAGTTATAAGCTAACTAGGACTATTTAATCCTAAAGTAATATCGAAATGTTGTGTGAAATCAATTTCTTCTTTTGTAGTCCAACTTGAAAAAATAAAAGTGTTGGATTAGTAGAATATTATTTAGCGTTAGTTAAGTAGAATTTAGTAATTCTTATTGACTTGAAGCTATCTAAGCTAGAGTATATTTGAGATATCTTTTAATGTTTTATTTTTTAGACCATTATAATAGGGTTGTCAAAAGTTGACACGACTTAAAATTTGACTCGAAAAATTCGAGTTCGGATTTTTGACCAGTCTGAAAAATGAGAATGGTTCGGATTGACCCGGCTAACTCGGATCCCCTAATCCCGCATGCATGATGACTTGAACTCGCGCACCTGCGACACACGATTGATTAGGAGCGCACTATAATAATCTTTAGTATCAATATCAATATTAGATATTTATTAATTTAATACTTTTAATTGTTTCATAAGTATTATTAATTCCTGAATTTAAACTTTTAAACTAAAATAATTAATTAAAGGAATTATGGAAGAGAAAAATGAATATAACTTCAAAAAAATATTTATTAACAGTAAGAAAATATATCTTTACAGTAAAAAAACTATGTAAAAATAGTTTGATGTAAATGATCTCAAATTAGAATTTAAAAATTAAAATTTATGTTAGATGAAAAAAAATTATATAATATTGTTTTAAAATAAATATATTAATTTTTTAAACATTTTTTTATACAAATTTGTAGCATTATATGAAATAAAATGTGTATTTCACAAAAAAATTAATTTTAAGCGGAGGTTTCATTGGCGGGTTCATTGTTTTGGTGGCGGAGACTTGGATTGACCGGTTACGAATCAGATTAGCAGCTACCTGATTGCCAGGAAGTGGCGTCGAGGGGCCACGCAGCCGGTTGCCGGGTTGCGCGGGTCTCTTCCACAGCAATTCAGCGCCACGCACTGTTCTTCAAATTGCAAATTCACGGACACGTGTCAAAAAATCCCATTCGGTTGACGAAAATTGGCCGAGTAGCAGTAGCCTTATAAATATGCAGAAACAACCCTTGAAACGGAGGAATCTTGCATTTGAGGCTCTATGTGAGGACTAGTTGAGCTTGTCTGCTTCTTTTTCTTCTTCGAAAAAACATTATCGGAATTCCTAACCTAGATCTAGAGCTTGGGGGTACGAGTCGGAGATTATGCCTCATTACCGGCGGTGACAAGCTTATCGGCGTCAAGGTAATTCTCTAAAGAGATTCTGCATCCCTTTCACCTATTACATGCTAGCGATCTTCTGATTCGCATAAACCCTATTTTCTTGATTAATCACTCCAGTGCAAAACTGCTGAGGATTAAGGGTTAGGTTTAAAGATGAAGGGTAGGCCGGAGATATAGGGTCAATTGGGCGTATTAACTTGGAGGAAGGGGAGATGCGCATGACGGCTGCTGAAGAGGGCCATACTACCCCGGTAGAGATTCATTTACCAGCAGACATCGACTGGGACATGCTGGACAAATCCCGCTTCTTCTTCCTCGGTGCCGCGCTCTTTTCTGGTGTCTCGGTTGCTCTGTACCCAGCGATCGTCCTCAAAACACGTCTCCAGGTCCGCCAAACCCCTTTGTCTTGCTTCGGTGCTGCTGCCTCCATTCTCCGCCAAGAGGGCTCTCACGGCTTCTACCGTGGTTTCGCCACCTCCCTCGCCGGCACCATCCCCGCCCGCGCCCTCTACGTGACCGCGCTGGAGGTCACCAAAACAGCCGTTGGATCTGCGACCAGCCGCCTCGGCATGCCGGATACCGCTGCAGCTGCAGCGTCCAACGCCGCCGCTGGTCTCAGCGCTGCAGTTGCCGCGCAGATTGTCTGGACGCCTATTGACGTAGTTAGCCAGCGTCTCATGGTGCAGGGAAGCGAAGCACGGTCGAAGTACCGCGGCGGCATCGACGCTTTCCGCAAGATCCTCCACTCCGATGGCTTCCGCGGGCTCTACCGTGGATTTGGGATGTCGATTTTTACCTACGCTCCGTCCAATGCAGTTTGGTGGGCTTCGTATACCATGTCGCAGAGGATTATTTGGGATGCAATAGGTTACTGGTCTAGTCGCCGAGATTCTTTCATACTGAAGCCGGCCTATGGGACAGTGGCGGCGGTGCAGGGTGTGAGCGCAGCGATGGCCGGAGGAGCGGCAGCGCTTGTGACGATGCCATTGGACACAGTTAAGACCAGGATGCAGGTGATGGACGGTGGCGATGATGGTGGGAAGAGGATGATGACGATCGGACGGACAGTCAAAAATTTAGTGAGGGAAGGGGGATGGCTGGCCTGTTACAGGGGATTGGGGCCAAGATGGGCGTCAATGTCGCTTTCTTCAACCGCCATGATCACTACCTACGAGTTCCTGAAGCGGCTGTCTGCTAAGAGTCAGGGGAGCTTCAATTGAGGTATGGGCATTGTGGAAAAATAATTAGAAAGAAATTGCAGTTTATGAAGTTTATATTTTTATTGAATTTTGCTTTTCTTTCATGTTTTTTGTATAAATATATAAGATAGGGGTTTAGGTTTTGTTAACTATGCAAGAGGAGGGAAGGCAGAGAAGCAAAGGCGGATTTTTGTTAGCCGTGTGCGCTTGTATGTAGTTCTTACTTTTTTTTTTTTTTGTATGCATGTAGTTCTTACTTCTTACTTAATTTTCTATTTAAAGGCTCCCTTTTGAATCAAATTTAATAAGAAATAGATGAAATTTATAATTCTATTTTTAGATTGGGCTTTTTTTATTTTATTATAGTTTATAGTTTTATGTTTTTGATTTCAGGATTTTTTAAACCTCTATTGTAAAATTTATTATATATTTTTTAAATGTTAAATGTGGAATCATCAATTTGTTTTAGATATTATCTGGCTCTGAATATTTTCGGCAAAATTTTCAAAATTTTGAGAAGTTGCTCCTATTAAAAAAAAAATCTACAATTAAAAAAAGACAAATCGGTATATATATATAT